GGCATCCCGATCTCGGCTCAGCGGATGCACTTGAAGTGGCACATAATCCACGCGATGACGATTTCATGTCAAATATCTTGTCACCGTATGTCTATGGTGACGTCAGCTCTAGTTTAAAGCAAATTACGTTCGACGATGTCATCGATCAGAGAGATAAGGATTGTACAGAGTATCCTGTGTCGCAAAGTGATGATGATAACGAGCTGTATGTAATCTTTAACGGATTGGCTAGTGCCTGTGAACGTACAATATCCTTGAGGCTATACCATCATTAAGTTTGCTAGCGGAACTCGAAGAAGTATCGGTAGGTGAGTTCGATCACATATTATAGAATGGTGACCTTTCAAAGGTGGTGTTTATCCGACCCGAACCATAGAGTTCAACTCTTCTTCACCTTAAGACGATGAAGCCGTTCTGGACGACACGAAAGCGGTCCTTAGTGCGCGTAGTGAGTCATCAATATTGAAAGACCCTCATGACCTTTTTTACTCCTTAGTAAAAGAATTTAAAGATGTGGTGAGCAACGACCCACCCTCTGGTTTACCTCCACATAGATATGTCTGTCATGAAACTGAATGAGTTCCTGGTACTGAACACTGTGCCACAAGACAGTGGTCCTTGCCTAAGGATCAATGTGATGTCATTTATGACGTCTTTCGTGTTAATCAAGAGGCAGAAATGGTACGTGATATTAAATTCTCCATATTTGACACCAACACTTTTGTCGAATAGCCGAACGGCGAGTGGCGTATTGTACATGCTTATAGCGGCCACCATTTTGACACAGACGCCCATTCTTCGAAAGGGTGCTCGTCAAAACAACATGGTTGGTAGTACTGTATAAAGCACACTCGACTTGGCCGACAAATTTTATCAATTGCTCATAAGAATGAGCAATGTTTTGCTTACCGCAGTGCGTAACCCGAGTGGTATGTTATGGGAATGGCTGTTGATGCTTCATGGGCTGTCTAACGCTCGTGTATCATTCAATCGTCCGGGGACGCAATTTTTCCGCCCGCATCGAAATTACGTACTTAAACGAAATTTTGTCCATAGTTGTGCCGAAAAAAGTCGGTCAGATGTTGAAATCACATCATCCATTTGCGAGCCGTGATCGAGTGCATGCGCACTAACAAATTGTACACCATCGAGTCTTAATGCATTAGTTGTGCAGAGGAGATTCTTTTACAGGATGTTTTATTGGTAATAGCGGCCTTAAATCGGATACAGTTAAGGTCAGGGCTAAAGCGATCTGATCTTTTTTTAAGAATCATAACGACTCGCGAAAGTGGCTTGGCCTCGCCATTTACTGACACAAATACAGTGATAATTCCTCTGATATGACTCGTTCATTTAATGGTCGTATCGAAAAGGAAATAGATTGGCACTGGGACAACGACCATGAAGACGAAGTTCAGGCCATAAGGAAGAATCTACTCCATGCTCTCATATTGCCGTTGCCACATCCTGATACCCTTTTAGTGTTGTCTGAGATGCACCCGATTTTGCTATAGACATCGACCTGTTGCAAGGAGACGCTGCAGGCCGCGAGCGAGTTACCTATTTGATTTTTTTCGGCTGAAAGCTGCTGAAAAGAACAATTTAGTTCTTGACAAAGAGATGCTTGCTACAAAGTAGGTACTCGTCCAATTAAAAGTCCATCTGCTGGGCCCCAAGCCATCCGTTGTCTGTACGGATCGTGCGTCATTACGCACGGCGAAACAATCGCCTCACCTCTCTCAGAGAATGGATCGGTGGCATTCCTTATTTGCAGAACATAACTTCGAGTGAGGTGTAGGCTAGGCAAATAAAACGTATTTTCACATGCCTTCGTTTCCGACCTAATTATAAGCTTTTTCATGTCACGACTTTGTCGTCTCCTATTGAGGAGATTATCCGTGTGGCCTATCCACGGGAACCTTCACGTGTGGCATTGTTTTATTCCGTTAAGAGTCAGGGATACAAGGACTCGGACAGCCAATTATCGGCACGCTTGAGGGTCAGCATGCATCCATAGTTACATCGATAATGGCCTCTTGTGCATTGCACAGACGTAGCGGATGCCGTCGCTTTGATGCGCCTCACCATGAGTATGTAAAATATCGAATCCTCTTTGAGGCCCACAATACTGCCCTAAGTGGGCATTTGATCTGAGAAATACTTTCGGCTCATTGATTCCACATTAAGGGTGAGCCAAACTCTACAAATGGGTGGGAACCTATGTGCGTAGATGTGAAACGTGCCAGCAGGTATAACACTCGGCATATTCGTCTGCGCCACTCTCCAGATTACCTGTGACTACGGGGTGTTGAACACCAAATGCAAAGTCCGTACTGAAGTCCATCAGTACGGAGTTTGCAATTGGTGTTCTCACAGAGAATGGAGACAATGCGGGGATTGTGGTCTTTGTTGACCGCTTAATAAAGATGGATCATTAAGCGGCTGTGCCGAATTCATCGGCGGCAAAGGTACAGATATGCGGTTTGTTGATCGTGTGTTTCGTCAGCACGGGTTGTTGCTAGCAACCGTCTCTTATCGCGACTCTTTCTTCGCTGGCAAGTTTTGGCAGTCCATCTTCAAGGTGCTTGGCACGCGATCAGACTTGTTCACAGCGACCCATCCGCAGACCAATAAGGAGACTGGCTGAGTTAATTGCGTCATCGGCGATCTTCTTCACAATATATGTGCTACGTCTCCTAAGGCTTAGAGCTCTATTCTCTCTGTCTATAAGATTGTGTTGAACAACGCTGCTCATGCCTAGACCGGCTCTACTTAATTCTATGTGAATATCCTCACGAGCATCCGCGTTCCGCTCACGTTACCACTACATGGTTCTATGCTTCATGGGGGAGAGACTGATGACAAGCTTGCTGAAATAGCCCTACCACTATGCAGAAAAAAATCATCAAGTTTCTCACGACGCACTTTTTTGTCTTAAAACATGTGTGTGATGCAATGGCTGACAGTCAATGCAAACACAAAGAACAATCTGATGCTACAAGGGCTTCGTTGAAAAGTGTGGCATTCGAGTAGATCCCGCTAAGGTAAAGTCAATTGTTGACTGGCCGGTTCAGTCAAACTAAAGGTACTTGCGTAAATGTCTCGGCCTTGATAATTACGTGTACAAGTACTGTGCAAACTACGCTGATATGGCAAGGCCATTATCGAACCTCCTCAAAAAGGACACAGTTTGGTGTTGGGACGCAGTACATGATCAAGTCTTTTTAGAATTAAAGTAAGGTCTCCTTCATGCTCCAATTTTGGCTTTACCTGACCCTGAGCGGCCTTTCAGTGTCGTATGTGACGCGTCTGATTTTGCTGCTGGTTGTGCGTTTTTGAAGACAGATGGACATGAACGTGCCATAGTGAATGAGTGTCTTCAGCTAAAGGCTGCAGAGAAGAACTATCCAGTTCATGAAAAAAAGCTATTCGCAATGAAATATGCTCTTGTTAAGTTCAGAGTCCATCTCCGTGGCTCAAAGTCTTTTGTGATCTTCACAGATCATGCGTCGTGACGCACTACGACACATTCGCCTCACCTCTAATAAAGTATGGCCTGTTGGCTTTCACTCTTTGCTAAATACAACTTCGAGGTGAAGTATAAGCCGGTTAAGCAAAATGTTTTGGCTGATGCGTTGTCACGCAGACCTGATTACGAGCTTGCTCATGTTACGAATCTGTCGTCATCCATTGTGGATATAATTCGCGCGGACATGCACGTGATGAGCAATGTTTAGCATGACTGCATGCTCTTGGGGGACATGAGTCTAAAGACTAGAACATCAAATTGTCGAAACGTTTACGTGCAAGCCTACATCAATGTCTCATCGATGGTGGGCTGTTGTGAGATTGCACAAATGTCGAGGATGTGCCTCGCATTGTTGTTCCTCACGATGAGGACTTGAAAAACCTTGTTCTTTCAAGGCACAAAACTTTGCTTTGAGCAGTCATCTCTGCCGTGAGAAGACACATAGCTAAGTTAGCCGGACGTATTGGTGGCCCAAGTTGTACAAATGGGTGAGAATGTGTGTGCGTAATGTGAAACATGTCAACGGGTCAGACCCTCAGCCCATTTGTGGTAGAATAGGGTTCGCTCATTTTATGAGGCGATTTCGACTATCCACTGGAGCCCAGACGACCGACTAATGGAGGGAGTGCTCCGATTTCTCTTGTACTTGTTTCCTCCTCACTTTGTGTACCCGTCGGTAGGGCGGGTTGCACTCTTCTAAATGGACTTGACTCGATGCTGAACTTGACCGTTTTAGTGATAGGTGTCGATCGGGTGTAAATTCCTCACACGATCGCATGTTCTCGGTTGGCTTTCTCCCATAGTCACCTCTATCAGCCTTTATCGTCTTGTGCCAATAAATGGGATACTTGAGTCACGAGCCTTCTGTTCACTTGAGCCGTCTCGCGATCCTGTACTTCAACCAGTATGGTTGCCTGCGTCCAATCGCAGTTGATGTGTGTTAAGAGTTCTTGCACTCCTGGCCGAGTAGCTCCAGGATTGATCTTCCTTTCGCTTGGTGTCGAATTTCTCTAGCGTCGGGAGGCCAAATCACCCAACCCGGAAGAAAAATGACACACATGCGTTTACAAGTAAATTGAACTCTCTTTAATTTATCCAAACAAAACTCAAAGTATTAACCACACGTATTGCTTATGTCAGGATTGACCACTACGTGGCTTCTCCATGCTGAATGAAATGCAATCCTTCCATATCACGTTGCCCACGCCAGATCGCGACCCCCTGATTGCGCTCCTCTAATATTTCCACAGTTTGGGACGGTGCGTACTGGACGGGGTTGAGCCCGTTGGGTCCTACCAACGGTTACATCCAAATAGATAGCTATCATTCCACGAGCGATTCAGCCAATACCAACTCGTACTTAGCCGAATCGCTTAGGCTTTTGGGTCCGATCTCGATCGGCTCTACCATACATGCGGTTGCACCGCTTGCTAGTTTGACTGTACCTACTGAGTGTTAGGAGTCCATCAGTATGGACTTTGTGTTTGGACTAACGAAGGATTTGGAGGGCATCGCTGGTATTGTGGTCTTAGTCGACCGTTTGAGAAAGAAGGCTTATGTAGCAGCTGTACCTGATTTCATCGATGGCGAAGGTACAGCAAAGCTGTTGATTGATCGGTTTTGCCGTCAACATGGTTTTACCGTGGCAATTGGCTCTGACCGTGATATCTATTTCACTCGAAAGTTTTGGACTTCCATCTTCAAGGTGCTGATCACCAGGTTGAACATGTCTACAGCGGACCATCCGCAGACCGATGGTCAAACTGAGCGTGTAAATCGTGTCATTGGTGACATTTTGCGCAGTGTTTAAGCCGATACGCCTGAGCGTTGGAGCTCTATGCTCCCGGTGGTCGAGTTTGCGTAAAAAACGCTGTTCATGCCATTAGTGGCTTTACTTATTTCTACGTGAATGGTCTCACTCAACCACGCGTTCTTTTAACGCTTCCACTACAAGGTTCTGGGCTTGGTGGGAGAGAAATAGCCTATTGGCTTGCTAATTTCAGCCCAACTACTGTTTGGATGCAGGTGAGCGAGTTCTCACTACGCGATTGAATGTCTTAATACTTGTATGGGACAAAATGGCTGATAACCAGGACAAGCAAAAGGCTAAATATGATGCTAAAGAGAGAAAGTTGAGTGAGAGGTATAAGGTTATAGACCTAGTCTTACTAAACGCTAAGAATCTTCTTAAAAAGGTGGTGCCATTTGTCTGCGGTAAAAAGTTGTGTCCTCGCTTCATTGGGCTGTTTACAGTTGTGGCCAACAAGGGCCTAGCGTATACGCTCAACCTTTCACACAAGGTGCGAAAGCACTCAAACTTATGTCGGCTTGCCTAAGACTGACCTTGATCCGTCGCTGGTAGATCACGAGGCGCTTGCTCCGAAAGAGTTGGCGATGCCACAAGCCATGAAAACCTCAAGAGAAGATCCAATTGTCCTTTAAGCCGATCCACTCGGTCATGAGGACCATGTACCTCGTGCACAAACTCGTCGACTACGCGTCGAGATCCATCGACCACCGCCTGCTGTCGCGAAGATCAAGGAAATAAACAGTACCGTGTTGAGCGTATCCTACAGCGACGTCGTCGCGACGGTCAATACCAGTACTTGGTAGAGTGGCTGGCGTACCCCGGGTCGGAGAACTCATGGGAGTACGCCGAACCACTGCTGCAGGATTAACCATACGCCTTTGACGTTTTTGAACGTCGTCTTCGGGGTCAGTCGACCCCTACCGCTTCCTACTAGTTGGTGTGGGAGTAAACGGGGCTGCAGCTGCAGCAGGTGCACTATTGTGTGGGTCTGTAGCTGCCGCAAAATAGCGGGTGTGATTATACGATCACAGTTGGACTTTTGTTTTTCAAATCAAAGCGCATCTTTCATTCGAGCCGAACGTCAGCAGGTGAAGCGCTCTGTTAGAGATACTACAGCCTTGGTAGATGGCACTATCTGTGAGTCCAACGCGTGAAGACGACATCGTTTTCCGCCTCTGTCTCACCTGGAAGAGAACGACGACGGGTATTGTTCGCATGTCGGACACTGAAGCACCTCGTGCTTGCAGTATCAGCCTGTCGAGGTAATCTAAAACGGTCATGCACTTGACCCCAAGAATCTTGCTCTGAAGGCCTCCCTCTCAACTAGTGCTTGTGGCAGCCTTAGTTCCCGTGATCCATGTTGCGAGTGACTGTCAGGCAGTCTGACGAATGCTTTCATACACACTCGGTGGGGTGAAGCGGTGACTACTGTGAGCATACGCTGTGGATACACGTTGTGCTTGACGACTGCAGTCATCGACCGATTGAAGATGTTGAGATTGATCTTCAAAAAGAGTGTTGTGTCACACAATCAACGTAGGCTCGACGACTGCACGCTGTGAAAGGGGTCAAGGTACCTCCTCGTGTTCCACGAATGGATTTAGCGCGACGCGCGTGGTGTCACGCGCCGGTGGCGTAACTGGAAGTGGTTCATAGACACTCGACGCGACAATGTCACTCTCGTAGTCCACCATACTCTTTTCGAGGAATTCCTCAAGGGTGTTAGACGAAGGCTTTGACTCAGTCATTTGAGATTTGTTGTGAACGCGATGGTCAGGACCAGAGCTTTAGGACCTCATAGATCAGTAGGAGAATTGCTGACACAAGGGTGTCGACAGTTTGGTGGGGGAGGGTGTTTTGGGGTTACACGTGGTTATTAAACCGGTTATGTTGTGTGCCCACACTTAGTAACGATCGGTGGATCTGAGTGGTACAGTATCGGCATCACGTACTTACGGTAACACCGCACCTTATCGGGTTGAGATAAGGGACAAGACTTCTGTCATAGGATCGCAATGTAGAAGTCAGTCAAACATTTTTGTAAGGTGTGATTACCTTTGCTAAAAAGTGACTCCGCATGTGCCTAGATACTCCTGTTTTGCAGACAGGCTAGATCGCACTTAGTACATGTATGGTACACCTAACCGCGTTTCTTACAGACACACACAGAAAGATAAGTACGATTGAAAGTTTGGCGTTTACCCTTGCTGTTACGGGGTGAACCGTTACCTAACAATTTATAAGAAATTGTTAATAGAATATAACGACAAGAGTTATATTCTCAGAATATTGTCATAAGGACAATATTCTACAGCACTTACGAGAAGTTCCTGATTGGTTGATATAGGCCATTATATCAACCAACGAAGACGCGCCACGACAGACGCACGCAATTAGTGGTGAGCAGATAACTGATTTACACATTTGTATTCAGACATAGTTAGATGAAGATAAATAGTGATTTATTGCAGACATTAACTATTATAAATACAGTTCTACTTTTTACTTTAACCAAGTACTCGCTTCTTCTTACCGTCTTCCTCTGCACGTACGAGTGTACGTGAAGTTACGCGGCACCGCCTTATTCTGGCATCAGAATAAGTAGCTTGTACTGTCATCAGTACAAGCTTCAGGGTGCCCCGTTACAGTCCGGACGCAAGTCTTCTTAATCACATCGACGACTGTAGTATTTTTCTGCTGTAAACAGATCATTGCATAACATCAAGGGCTGTTCTGCATTTGTATCACCTCGTGCAATGTATCCTTCAGCAAGTTGTCTCATAAATATAGCCTGGCCAAGAAACGCCACTCGACCGGTCGAGCGACGTTAACTCAAGGCGATCGGTCAATGAACATTCAATAAAAGCATTGCTACCGCTAATCGACTCCTGATATTCTCTTCCCTACAACACCAAACACCACAAACCTTACCGCTTCCTTGTCTCAAGATACACACAAGTAATCTTTGCACGAGCTTTCCTCACATCACTTACAGAACGAACCCTCTCTTAAAACCTGCAACTCCCGCTTTAAAGGTAGTAGGCGACACAATTATTCAGCAATGCGACCCTGTACGATTCTGCACTGTCAGAATTATCGCTTAAGAAAGTCTTCTGAAAAGCGTGAAAGTTTCTGACCCTTTCTCTCTTTCTCTACCCCTTCGATAGCTCTTGATTGCACGACAGACAAAAGACACGGTCAAAGACCTCGTCACAATTCAGTGTCGAGCACAGAGAGCAAAAGACGTTGCGACACGCGTCGCACTCGCGACGACAGCAGTAGCCGATCGTTTTCTCGCAATGAGTGCAGCGCAGCATGTCGCAGATCGGCATCTGGCTCTCGACGGGCTTCAGCGCGCGTTTGCACACGCCACAAGAGGACTGGGACATTTCTCGCTTGCCGGTAAATAGCTGCCCAATGCCGCCGTGCTTCTTGATTCGCGCGTGAGTCACAGCCGCCGACATCATGCGACTTAGCGCGTCTATTTTAGATAAAAGAGCATTAGTTTTAGCGTTAAATCATGGGTTTGGACTGACGAAAACCACCCACCGACGGGTACCGAGCGATCGCGACAGCGCTTGACAGACGAATGTGGCGGTTTCCAGGGTGACATCGAGACAGTGAGAGATGGAGGAGGAGGTGTAGTGCCCACGTCAGAACCCTCCATTGTCACGCTCTCGTCTCGCAATCGCTTCATGACCGTAACTTTTAGTAGCGCAATGCGCTAAAATCTAAAATGAGGACAAGAAGAGGTCGCGTTTAGGTGATGAAAATACGACGATATGGTCAAGTTACAATTCAAAGTTTAGATGGAAATTCCAGACATAATTCTAGTCGTTCGCAAAACATGTATTGAATTTAATGCTTCCAGCTATCACACAGCATCCATACACATCAAAATAATGTTAGTAACCAGCCCAACTTGTTCACCTTCAACAAACTTCACGTACATCTTTATCGTGCGGTCCTTACTGCCCGACGCCACCATGTCACCGTTAGGGCTCCAATCCAAAGCGTACACTTCATCAGCGTGACCTGAAAGCGTCGACTTGGCATTTTTCAGATTGCCCAGCTCCCACACCTTCACGGTCGAGTCCTTACTTGCTGTCACGATCAGTCGCGTATCGCTGGACCAGCACACCTGGTACACTGCACCGACGTGGCCAGTAAGAGTGGCAATGAACTTCCCCGTATGGCCGTTCCATATCTTAACCTTCTTGTCAAAACTCGCGCTGGCGAAATATCGCCCGTCCGGCGAAAAGCTCAAGTGGTTCACCGGCTGCTGGTGACCCGTAAGACGAGCCAACGGCTTTTTACTCTCCGAAGGTTCCCAGAAAAACAGCGTGAAATCATCCGAGCCGGACACCAAACGTTCCGTCTGACCATTGCGCACCTCCTCGTATCGCTTCAGCGCCGCTTGCTGCATCTCTTCGCGCGATGCAAAGCTGTTAGTCTTGTAGCCAAACGGTCCCGAACGGCACACGTAGTCGACATTCAGGGCCAGCGTGTTAATGCGGTGACCGTGTCCAACAAGTGTACGCACGAGCTTGCCGACATGATCACCTTCCATCGCCCAGACCTTTATTGTACGGTCACGAGACGCACTGTACATCAAGCCTTCCCCTCCCCACTTAATGCACTCCACCGAATCCGTATGCCCCGACAGCGAAGCAATGGCACGTCCTGTGCGAGCATTCCACACCTTGATCGACCCGTCTTTCGACGAACTAGCAAAACGCTCGCATGTACTGTTGCGATGCATGGGTTCCCAAGTCAACGAGTTGACCCACTGCTTGTGGCCCTTCATGGGCTGGCCAATCTGCTTACCCGTAAGTGGGTCCCACAGCCGAATCTCTCCGTTCCGATCTGCCGACGCAAAGCGTGCTCCATCGGGCGACCACGCTGTACATAGCACGTGGTTCTTGTGTCCACGACCCGTGTGCTTTGGCATGCACGTGTTCGTGTCCCAGAAGCGCACCGTCGCGTCGCCTCCTCCACTTGCCAGTCGCTTTCCATCCGGACTGAAACTCACATGTAAAACAGCCTCAGCATGTCCCTGTAATGTGTCGCTGCACCGGGTAACAGGACGCACTTGGAAAACTGCCAGCGGCTGGAATGTGATTGTCAACGCTGTTTCCACCGACAATTGCTACCATCCCAACAACGTAACAAAAGTGAGCCCCTTTTTAACTCCTACAATCACCAGCCTCTCGATACAAATTACGGTGGCTACCTACCAGCTCTTTAACTGTATCTTGAAGCGACGTTGTGATCTCCGTCTCGCCGATAAAGAGCGAATAGGGTACGCGATTTTTGCCATTTTGCAGCAGTTCGTTGACCAGCTCCTCCATCTGTCGAGCATTGGAGGACATGGGAATCTCCACTTGCGGGCCCACATTATTGCCCTGTATAAACACACAATTAAACGCACCAATAAGAACAATAGAGTAAGACCGACGACATCTCGTAACTAAGTGGATCAAGCAGCGCTCACGTCTTCACTCTGGAATTGAGCGATTGCTGACGTGCCAGTGACGTCTTCATCGTCATTACTGTCGGTTCCACCCTTGGTCATATCGATGGCATTGACCTCTGCACTGGAGTCAATCGACTCGTGCTCCATCTTCAGCTTCTTCGTGACAGGCGCCGTCATGTTGAAAACTGTTGGGCACCAGCCGTCGGGCTGTGAGTGGTCGAAAAAAAGAACGGAATGTAGCCAATTGGTGTCGGTTAGTCTTAGTGAAAGTTACATACTGTTTATAAAAAAAACAAGGTGCAAGGTAGATGTTCAGCTTTTTTATTAGGGAGGAAGGCGTGGGTAGACGTCGACGTGGGGACTGATCGATCGTCTTGTAATGTACGCTTACACGATGTGGCCATATCCGGCAATGGCAACTATAAGAGTGATATGAACACGTCGGGCCCTAACGAGTGGGTAATGAGTGAATTGCTGTGGTTCTGGTATAGGTAGCTGGGTAGCTGACCAGAGCAGTAAAACAGGACGCTGACGGAATAGTTAACAGCCGAAAACGTTTGATCGACAACTGGGTCTTTCCTGTCTGCTTTATACGGTCAATGCAATTCATTCGGGTAATGTGCTATGATTTTGGTTATTAATTTGAATGATAAGAATGCAGTCAGAGTATTAGAGGATGTACTGCGAGAACAACATCGACACAAAGATCAGAGATACACCGTCGATGCCGACCGGCGACTGTAAGGAACCTGATGGTATTTTGATGCACGTAACTGCTGTATTATTGCGGTGCTGAGATCGTTGTACGCAGCAAAAATTGCACATCATGGCTTATATACCGCCGTCTTTTTCAGTTGTATGTAAAGGTATTGTCAATAAGCTTGTATCTTCACATGAATGTCACTAACACTAGTCCAACAAATGTACTCTTTTTGTATGCTGGCTAGATGAATAACGCGATCTGAAGTGTACGAAGTAGTGGAATAGAGTAAGCGATTAAGCTTTCCAAGTAACGAAGAAATTACTACGCACACAAAGGCCGACACTGCTGATCCAGCGTGTAACGGGGCACCCTGAAGCTTGTACTGGTGACAGTACAAGCTACTTATTCTGATGACAGAATAAGGCGGTGCCTCGTAACTTCACGTACACTCGTACGTGCAGAGGAAGACGGTAAGAAGAAGCGAGTACTTGGTTAAAGTAAAAAGTAGAACTGTATTTAGTATAGTTAGTGTCTGCAATAAATCTCTATTTATCTTCATCTAACTATGTCTAAATACAAATGTGTAAATCAACTATCTGCTCACCACTCATTGCTTGCGTCTGTCGTGGCGCGTCTTCGTTGGTTGATATAATGGCCTATATCAACCAATTAGGAACTACTCGTAAGTGCTACAGAATATTTGTCCTTATGACAATATTCTGAGAATTTAACTCTTATAGTTATATTCTATTAACAATTTCTTATAAATTGTTATGTAACGATTCACCCCGTTACATCACCCCCCCCTTAACCATCAGTCACTTTAGTGACTATTTGACTAAATGGATACTCGTCCCAAATCATTTGGGACAGGGTTTGCACTTGTTGGTCCGAGTCCACTTTCCAACATCTCATCGCATGGTTAACAAGCCCATGCGATGCGCGAGCAAGGCCGCCGAGAGCGCGTCCGCACGTCTCTGTGCGGACGCCGAAGCAAAAAAACCACAGCAACTGATGTCTCATCGGTTGCTGAAGCGACCCAGCCTGTGTCACCTGGTGATGCAGGCGCTGGTCATGAAGACACTCGTGTCTTCACAGAGTACGAGCTCGGTGTCTCATACTCTCCTGATACGGAAGACGGATTCGTATCAAAGGCGATTGAATCTAAGCCGCCTGCCAAGCGTGGCATGGATGATGCTTTGCGTCGTAGCATCTTTGGTTCATCTGATGAATCAGATGAACCATCGTCAAAGCGAAGGCGCTCGAGGTCGCGAGACTCGGGCGCTAACAGTGGTGTCGGTTCTCCTATGGATACCACTTCGCAACGAGGTGCCAGTCTTTCTGTCGGCACATCGCAGGAAGAGCGGGAACGCAATGTGTTGCGTCTCGCTCCTGAGAAGAAGGCATGGATGCCTCCCAAATCCGTCATGGATCACTTGTCGGCGACGACGAGTGATCGTTATCGAACACGATTGTTCGATTCGTCAAGGATCCATCACCTTGACCCCAGTGCGAAAAACTATCGCGCTGAAAATGATTTCTTCATCGATGCTTTCTTTAAACATCGATGGTACAGTGGGAACCAAAAACGTGATGGTACCTCACTGCTTCAGGCGTGGAACGCCTACATCCATAACCTTGAGGATGTAGGTCGTGACGCTTGGAACGACAAAGTTATCAAAGCTCGTGATAAGTTTGAAAAGCGAACCCCGACAGGTGCACGCTACAAGCTACATCGTCTGTCAAGGGAAAAAGGATTACCCTGCCTCTCATGGGGAGACTCGTGCCCATGTTGTGTGAACAACTCTGCACGAGCACCTAAGGATGCTTACCTCCCTAATAGCCCGTGGTGGCGCGTACGTATCTCTACTGAGATGTACGAAGGGATTGACAACCTGAAATCCCTTTACGACCGTGCCGGGAAGACTTTCTCCAGCGGTCCTTCTGCGGAACAGGGTGTGCCGCGTCGTACTGCTCAACCAGACCCAGTACGTCGATCATCAGTTGGGAGCGGGGCTCCCAAGTATCCCAGGACGGGGGATAGCCGCGCCAACGGACGAGATAACTCGTCCGACGTCCGTTCACGTCGCGGTGGTTCAACAGCTGCTCAACTAGATAGCGCTGGCCACCGCGAGAGTCCTCTAATGGAGGTGGTGGAGGAGGAAAGACGCTCTCCACACGATCTTGGGGATCCGTGTGTTCCCGAGAGCTTCTTTGATCGCGTAACGCAAGGGTTACGCAACGATCTCAAACATGAGCGGGACAGGCGTCTCCAAATGGCGGACACTGTCTCGAAGCATCGAGCTGAGTTTGCCTTTGCTCAGCTTGAGAACGAGAGATCTCTGACGTCTCTGCGTGACGAGCTAAGGGTAGCTCGTGGGATTGTTGATCGGTCTCGGGATGAGATAGCTGCTCTTCAGACCCTTGTTGATGCCCACCATCGGGAGCACAAGGCTCTCTGCGAGATGCTTGAGCGCAAGGGCGTTCTTCATCGGAAGAAGCAGCGTACTGATGGTACGGCTTAAGCCGACCAACGTAAAACGTGGGATGCGTTCGCATCTTACGTGGCAACTCAATCGTGTATGCATTGCCTAGGCGGTGCAATACACGAAATGGGCCGATGTACTTGGGTAGTAGTTTACTACTACCCAAGTTAGTCACTACATGCTTTGGTAGATTAACCGTAGACAGTAGGACTAAGTCACCTTTATTAAACAAAAGAGTGTTTGCCCTTCCATTCTTGTCAGCGTTTTTCTTTTGCATTCCACCGCTTCGGCGATGAAGTCTTGCACAAAACGGACTACCGTTATACGAGATAGTATGAACTCATCTGATGACTCGTTAGCTTCAGTGCGCTGTGAGTGCACTGCAGCAACACCAATCTTTTCTTGAGTGAGGGCTTCCGCACTCTCACTGGCATCATCTTCTTCGATATCGATGTTGTCGATATCGGCATCAAACGCAATGACCTCTTCGTCAGAGCGTGATGAGCGTGAACCAAATCGGTTTTTGCTCGCGCGAGTCCCTCCCCCCCTTAAACCAGAGTTACACTCTAGTAAGGTGGGTACACGCGGATGGCGCAAGCCATTCACGTAAAACGGTGTATGTGTCGTTGACGCATGCACGGAGTTGTTGATGGCAAACTCTACCATTGGCAAAAACTCACTCCAACTCTTAAAGGAGTGTACGTATCCTCGAAGTATCTCTTCAAGGACATGATTGGCAAGTTCCGTCTGACCATCTGACTCTGGATGATCATATGTCGACATCTTCAAGCGCGTTCCGAGTGATTTGAACACGGAACGCCAGAAATTAGCAGTGAATCGTGGATCTCTGTCTGATACGAGTTCACGGGGCAACCCATGAATTCGGAAGATGGTGTCAATAAAGACACAAGCACAGCCACTTGCCGTGATTGTCTCTGGCACAGCCACAAGGTGTACCATTTTGCTGAATCTGTCAACAAATACGAGAATACCCGTATTCCCGCGTGCGTCTTTGGGTAACCCGAAGACGAAATCCATTGAGATGGATTCCCAGCACTCCGCCAGAACTGTTAGAGGCTGTAAAGGTGCACGCAGTGAAGGACTTGACTTCACTCGTTGGAAGGCTTCGCATGCGCGAACATACTTTCGCACAAACTGATACTGGCGGGGCCAGTAAAATTCTCGACTCACCGTGAGATATGTTTTCTCCCGGCCACGATGTCATCCTATAGGAGCATCGTGATACTCGAACATGATCCGCAAACGCAGATCAGTATCTTCTGGAATGAAAACACGTGGTGTGTCACCAGAAACGGCTGTACAATACAGTAAACCGTCGCGAGTAGTGTATCGATCTGATGCAGATCGATACGCAGGCGACAATCGTTTCAACGATTCTCGAGATGGTTGGGAGAGATGTGTCAACAACTTCACTATCTCACCATCTTGGGCGTATGCCCGCCTCACATCATCATACAACGTTGTAGATGGGACTGAGGACGTCATAACCGCAACAGTGACTGTCTCACTGTTGGGTTTCGCGACTGTTTCAAAGTCGGGACGACGTGAGAGTGCATCAGCGACGACATTAAGTCGTCCTGGTTTGTACTCTACAGTAAAGTTGTATTCTGCAAAGAATGACAACCACCGCGCCATTCGTTGTGAAAGGTGCGGGCTGTTCACTGCCGTGCGTAATGACGCATGGTCAGTGTAAACAATGAAGGGTCTATCTCCTAATAGATAGACTCTGAACTTCGCGAGTGCATACTTCATGGCAAGGAGTTCCTTGTCATGCACTGGATAGTTCCGCTCAGCTGGTTGCAGCTGACGCGACTGATAGCAGACGACGCGTTCAACGCCTTCAAGATCGTACTGCATTAATGCACAGCCGATTGCGAAATCGCTGGCATCACAGACCACATGAAATGGCCTGTCCTGATCGGCTATTGCTAGGACTGGGGATTGTATCAAGCTCTGCTTGATACCATCAAAGGAGCGCTGACATTCAGCGTTCCATAACCACCTCTCGTTCTTTTTCAACAAACGAGAGAGGTGCACAGTCATCTCGGCGTAATTGCGTGAATACTTATGCAAATACGCCGCTAGAGCAAGGAATTTTTGAAGACCTTTGAAATCAACCGGCACAGGCCAGTCGGTGATCGCCTTGATGTTTTTGGGATCAGGACGTACACCGTTCTTACCAACGATGCACCCAAGAAGTGGTATTTCGCTTGCTGCAAATATACACTTCTTGAGGTTTGCATACAATTGATGCTTTCGCATGATTGTAAGAACCTATCGGACGTGGTATCTGTGAACCTCAACATCCGACTTTCCATCCATAGCTCGACTATGGATGAATACGTCATCGAAATAACTCGGCGCGAATTCTCGTACTGGTCTCAACAGATGTGATACACATCTGTTGAACGTGGCAGGGGCATTACTAAGCCCTTGTGGCATTACTAGCCATTCCCAGAGCATGCCGCTAGGCGTGCTAACTGCGGTATAGGGTATATCCCGTTCCCGCATAAGGATTTGATAGAAGCCATCCATCAAATCCATGGACGAAAAGATGGTGCTCTTTGACATACCATCAATGAATACGTCCTTCCTTGGTGTCGGCGTCTGAGCCGGTACCGTTGCAGCGTTCAATTTGTTAAATGCATGCACTATCCGCCACCCTCTTGTTGCGTTTCGCACACAGAAGGTCGGAGAGCTATGTGGGGAAGTTGATTCCCTCACATGGCCCGCAGCTAAACGATCGGCAAAGAACTTGTCGATCGCAAGTACTCGTTCACGAGACAGTGGCCACTGCTTCATGACACAGTACTTCGAGCCTGGTTTAAGCTCGACCTCGTGTCGAATACCTTTATCCTTCGGTAATTCGCACGGAACAGTTTCAGGGAATACATCCTTGAATTCAACCAAATCTTCATAGAGAGGATTTGTCTTGAGCGATTCCCACGATTGGGAGTCATATCGCTCAATTCGTGTCTTTTCATCTAGGACACTCTCGTCCATAGATGAACTACTGAGAACTCTCTCGTTCTCAGTAAACACTGTTGCTGACCTTATGTCGGTTACACACTCGTCGTCAGCGACGAGTATGCAGATCTGCTTGACTTTGCCACTACGCAGATCACGCAAGAACCTTTTATGTTCGAGCGTTGGCAACTGAGTGATCTCCGAAGTCAACTTCGGAGGCGCAATCAGATCAAGTGTATAAGCGCCTACACTTGATCCGTCATTGACTAGGACATTCAATGTCTCTGTCATTTCCTGGGGACTTATTCCCTCAGGCCTTGAAGGACTTATTCCTTCGGCTTCCCGGGGACTTATTCCCGCGGGTTTCGGGAAACTTATTTCGCCGTATTTGTAATCTTGGGACTTATTCCCTTTACTTCCTCTAGCTGGGGTTGCGCAACCACAGCGAGATCCTCTACGAAAGACACTCCAGTCGATCTAGGATTATCGTTTCGCTTAACCTGAGCGATCGATTGTTTCTCTTCTAGATGTTCCCCACTAGGGATACATCTTTGTCCCGGTCCACTCGACTTATTCGAGTGGTGGACCTTCGGCGCAGCCTGTGTTTCCTCACAACCGCCGGAACTTTGCTCCGAAGTGTAACCGTTTGGTACACTAAGGTTTTGTGCAGTCTTACTAACGACCGTACCACAAGTGAGGCCATCGCACTCACTCGTAGTACATCCACACGCTTGTGGACGCTCCAAAACGTTCATTTGATGGCCATCTGATGAACAAGCGGCAGGCATCGTTACTGTCCGATGTTGCCAGTTTACCCGTGGTTCGTACCTTCTGAGCCACGGTATTCCAAGGATGACATCGAATTTTTCATCCAAATCCAATGCGATAAAGTCATCGTCATATTGGGTATCTTCTAGCGTATAGTGGATTTTCACTATACGCTTCATGACGGTTACGGATGCGCCTGTCGCAAGACGTACCGTCATCCTCGTAGGAGGTGTGTCACATTCACTGAATTTAAAGTGACCATCTTCTAGCGATTGGTGTCGCACAAAATTGTTGGACGCCCCACAATCGACTAGAGCTCGAAGGGACAACTTATTCGTCACTTCGAGTTTCAAAGTAATGAGTGAGATCTCATTACCTGGAGCAGCAACGCACAACGTTTGTGTGTTGGGAGCAACCTTCATCAAGAGGCCCACAAATTCTCTTGACGTTGCTGGACCAGTAGGGTGCTCCGCACCTACTGATCCTGTCCGTTTTTTTACGGTCAATCCCGTTGTTGCGTCTTTGCACCAACAGCGGACCCTCGTCCCTGCGCCATTCTCATGGGTGGACGGTCACTACGCCCAGTGTTGCGAGACACGGGACGAGGGGCACTACACTCGTAAGCGTAGTGTCCTGTCTTCTGACATCTGTTGCATTTCTGCAACTTCTTGAAGTCTGTAGAGCGAGCCTTCTCGCTCTCTACGTAACAGAGTTCCATCGGCTCTGGAACTCCGTTGTCATATCGTCTCGGTTGACGATATGATGTCGAGCTGGCGCGAGCCTGTCTCAGACTGAAGTCTTCCTGTTCCGCAAAGGAAATGGCTTGTTCTAGTGAATCTAGTTCAAGCCGGAACAGGTGAGTCTTGACGGGACCATCCGCAAGACCCTGCATGAACACCGAAACGAACGTGTGTTCATCCACCGGATTGGAACTTATACAACTCGTGAGATGTCGTATATGTTGCGCGTAAGCGTGCACATCACGCTTACCTTGTTTGAGCTTCAAGAGTTCAGTTCGAGCTCTGAACTCAGCTCTAGGCGGTTCAAACGTTTGTCTGAGCCGCGACTTGAAGACTTCCAACGACCCAAACGCATATGGGTCGTGCAACTTGAGCCCCAAAGCCCAAGTCTTGGCACGTCCTGCCAGATTTGATTGGGCAAATGCAACTTGCATATCCCCGTCGTCGATGCGACGCGCCCTTATGGCGTCATCCAATTCGACGAACCATCTCAAGAGGGAGTCTTCTTCGACCCCCCTATACTTGGAGATGTCAATCTTCAAAGTCTCGGGTCGACGCGAGTGCATCGGCCCACCAGCAGCAGCCTGCTGCTGTCTCAACAGTTCAAACTGTTGAACAACCTCTTCTCTCAACAACTCTGCTTGTTGAGAACCTTGTTGGTGAAGCAAGGCTACTTTCTCGCGTTCTTCGTCAAGTTCATTTTGAATGAGCTTGGCGATAGTAGCATGTTGGGCATCTCTATTGAGAGCCTCTAGCATGACGCTAACAGCATGGATGCCCATGGTCGAACCCATTCGTTCAGCCGCATCCCATTCGACATTGCTCAAATGGGAGTAGCCGTCACGCGTAGCGTGAAAGCTTTGGTCATCTTCATCATCCAACATATTCATGTTGGGTGTGAACGTGGTCCTTGGACGGACTACGAAGTGCTACCAGGTGTAACGGGGCACCCTGAAGCTTGTACTGGTGACAGTACAAGCTACTTATTCTGATGACAGAATAAGGCGGTGCCTCGTAACTTCACGTACACTAGTACGTGCAGAGGAAGACGGTAAGAAGAAGCGAGTACTTGGTTAAAGTAAAAAGTAGAACTGTATTTAGTATAGTTAGTGCCTGCAATAAATCTCTATCTATCTTCATCTAACTATGTCTAAATACAAATGTGTAAATCAACTATCTGCTCACCACTCATTGCGTGCGTCTGTCGTGGCGCGTCTTCGTTGGTTGATATAATGGCCTATATCAACCAATTAGGAACTACTCGTAAGTGCTACAGGATATTTGTCCTTATGACAATATTCTGAGAATTTAACTCTTATAGTTATATTCTATTAACAATTTCTTATAAATTGTTATGTAACGATTCACCCCGTTACACAGCGGATGTAGGTCGCTAGAAAAAAATAGTTGAGGGATGTTTTTTCTGAACATGTACTACAAAACATGCCGGGGTACAAAGGTGGCAGATTTGGTGCTAGCTGTGGCAACGTGCGTGAAAGTTTAAGCTCCACACAGCTGCATCGATATCTAGCCAAGTGCCTCATCGGGCTTCAACAGATTACAGCGCTCTTAAAGCAATTCATTGAAGAGTGACTCAACGAGAGATGAACTACTATCATTGAGCCCATTGCATTCGGGTTTTAGTATTTCAAGTCTAATTTTAATTTTTCTCACAAAATTTTAACTGGATGCAGGGTGTTGCTGAAAGTGTAAGGGCGACGGTAAGCATCATGATTCAATCATCACCCGTCTGCTGCGAATGTTAGAAACCATCGTGTTTGACAGGTTTCAAGGTTCAAGTGCTATACCATGGTTCGGTGTCACCTGATTGGTTGATTACCGTGCGACGTGACATGTGGGACCACGACGGGACGATCGACAGATGGGACTGTGAGAGACGGAAGCCATGTGACAGGATGTCACATGGGACAGGAAGAGACGGACACCATGGGTGACTTGACATGGTCAAGTTGCCGTTGCCGTTTCTGGTCATACATATCGTAGTGTTGGAGGAGGTAGTTCTTAACGCTCAATATATTTTACTTTTACTTCCTACTTCTACTGCACAAGTGCAACTACGTCTTACAGGTTATGAGCCCAACTAAACGTGACGACGGTGCGGCTAAACGAGCTGCACACGTCGTGGTGGTCGACGACCCCAAGAACGGCGACGACCATTTGGAAGAAAAGTCAACAGCGCCATTGGCGGCGATAAACCAAATGCTGGTTATGCTTAAGGGACCTATCGGAAAGAATGAATCGTATGGAGGTCTTCCAGAGAGAGCGAGCCATTAAGCATTGGGAGGACTCACCCGAGTTGAGTGTCGCCAGTCGCGAGAGGGAGGTCGGGGCAGGGTTGAAACTCCGGACCTTGGAGCATACCCCTCCCAAGGAACCTTCGAATGTGTCGCCAGCCACCTACTTCGGCGTCCGATGACAACAACAGGCAGGTGTTGAGATACCCCCTGCAGGATATGCAGGCCCGGCAGTCAACATTGGTCAGGCACCCGACCCCGGCGTACACAGGGCGGGTTTGCCTGCGGGAAACCATCACGGAATGGGTATCACCAACCGAGGATATGTGCACCCAGGGTATCCGAGAATCTACATGCCAGACGCACAGCAACGGAAACTCGCGTAGCAACCTTTCGATGGAAAGGAGCTCTACCACGGACTTGATTGTGGATTCATGGAGTGGGGAAAGGAATTTGTTCGACAAGTCGGATTTGCGGAACGTGCATGTAGCTTTGTGTGACCGGAGGACATCAAGGTTGATGTCCTAGGCCAGCATCTAGCTGGAAAAGCACAAACCTACTATCGTCATCAGGTGGAAACATGGTGGTTTGAGAGCCCAATCCTCGAGCACGCGATGCAGAGGCATTTGTAGACCTTCACGACGAAGATCTCACCGGCACAGAGCATGAAGCTGTTCACGGCACCCCAGGCATCTCATCGAAACTGGACGGACCATTTTCTATACTTGACGGCCGTCAGTGATGCCTGTGGGGGTGCAGACAGTCTTGTTCTTGACAACGATGTTCACTATGCCGACCCACACATGCGAACGACGATGTTGTCCAGATTGGACATTCATCGCACTGACTGCATGCGGCAAGCAGAAGAGTTGACACAATTTGCTCAATCGACGGAGGTAGATACTCACTCGAAGAATTTTGGTCGCGACGTGGTGAACGCTGTCGAGCCTGAGAAGGAGTTGGAGGACAAGCCCAAACCAAGATCATCACCCCACGGACCGATTCTCGGATTTGCTTCAAATGTGGAGAAGTGGGACATATTCGGTCGCGGTGCCCGCAATTGAAGAAGAAGTCCTCAGGTGCGAACTCTGTTTTCACAGTTGGTCATAGTCCAAATCGCTTGCCTAGTCAATGGATTCTTGACAGTGGTTCTAGCAGACACTTAATCAATGATCCGAGTCTGCTCACCGAACCTATTGATTGTTGAAGTGAGTGCATGACGGCTGCCACAGATGGCAGCGCGCTGCGGATCACCCTGCAAGGGACCGTGGACATCCAAGTTGGTGCACTTGGAGTCGTGAACACAGTAAGACTCCTCAATGTTCAGTAAGCGGAGAACCTCGAGCGTAACATCCTTTCATTCGGATTGCTTGAGGCCAAAGGTTGCGTGCTAGAATATCGAGGAGGAAGACGTGTTTAGTCCTCTGGTTTAGGCGGAACGCCCATAATGGATGTGGAATGTCACAACAACGTCTTGGTTGTCGCTGTGACGAAGTGCAGCGATCGTAATCCCAAGCTACCACGAGAGACAATGATGACTGTCATTAATCCACCTGAACATGAATTTGTCTCGGACGTTCAGTGTGGTACCTTGATGGACTTTCATCGGCGCCTAGGACATCTTTGTTTCGACACGATTGTCAAGATGGTCAAAGACCCGAACTCTGGTATGCAATTGACAGATTTGATACGTCAAACGTGTCTGGCCTGTGCCAAGGGAAAGCAGACCAAGAGAGTTCAGTCGAAGAGAGACACGGGCATGAATTCACCTATCGACGTGATCGGGGGTGTCATTTGTTCGGATCTTAAGGGTCCCATGACCCCCCGAGATCGTTTGGGATATCGGTATATGATAAATTTCATTGACCACCGATCAAATTATTGTCGAGTGTTCTTGGCCAAAACGAAAGATGCAGCCGCTTTAAAATTAGAAGATGTTCATGGTGAGCTTCGAGCGCGAGTTCAATTGCAAGATTCATGTCTTAAGCACCGATGGGGGTGGCGAATATAAGCCGCTTGACATGTTTCACTCATCGGAAGGCATCTCACGTTAAGTAAGTGAGGTGAGGAATCAAGCAAGCAACGGCAAGGCTGAACGGATGCATTGCACCATCATGAACATGGTGCGGAGCATGATCTTTGCATCAAAACTACCACTCACGTTTTGGGGTGATGCTGCAGAGTACGCTTCGTACATACTGAACCGAAGTAAGACCAAGTCCAACCCTAAAGGTGCATCGCCCCTGGAGATTCTGACGAATAGGGCTCCCGTACTGACAGACATCGTATTTTTTGGATCGACATGCACTGTACGCAGAGACCCAACAAACAAATCACTCGGTGAGCGAGGGAAGGCGGGCATCATCATTGGGCGAGGGAGCGAAACGAAGGGATACAAAGTGTACATCCCAGTGGATAAGGTGGTCGTGGTGACCTAACACGTTCAAAGCATTGAAGCACCACAGGATGATCAAGATGGAAGAGAGTTTTCTGATCCGGTACAACGTCAGGAGGAGTCAGTACATGATCGTCGAGCGGGTGCACGAGATCGTGAAAATGGTGTGAAGGGCGGAAAGAAGGGTCAGAAGCAGACATGGACCAGAGAGCGTCATGTCACAAGGTCCACAACGTTGAGTCAAACAAAAATGGCCAAAGCCGATATCTCGGTTGACAGTTGCGATGTGGTGAATGCAGTCATCGAGCAAGATCCGAAACACTTTGGTAGGGCAATGAAGAGTAAACATCGCAACCAATGGCAAGTGACCATGACCGAATAACTGGACGCACTCAAGGCAAATGACGTCTGGGAGATCGTTGTGCCACCAGGAAATGCACATGTTCTACACAACAAATGGGTCTACAAGACAAATACCGACGCGAACGGGAACATCGAGCGGTACAAAGCTCGTTTGGTGGTTTGTGGAAACGAACAAGTGTTTGAAGTGGACTATACCCTCACGTTCGCAGCGGTCATGGACTTGGGAACGGTAAAGCTGATCCTGGTGCTGTCGAGACGCTGGAAGGTACCGGCGCGCCACGGTGATGTACCCAATGCGTACGTCAAGGCTGAAAAGGAGGAGCACCTGGATATCTACATGAAGGTGCCGAAGGGGATGACAGTGAAGGAGAAAGAGATGAAGGACCTGAACGCAAAGACTTCAAATGACCTAGAGTTGCTGTTGAAGAAGTCGTTATATGGACTTAAACAGGCTGGGCGGCTGTGGAGCAAACTACTTGACTCCAAGCTACGACAAAGCGGGTTATAGCAATGTACCACGGACATGTGCCTAAATATCAAGTATAAGGACAAGACATGCACGGAGGTCGGCGTCTAGGTGGACGATCTGTTGGTCACGGGCACCGAACAGAGCGCTGTGGACGACTTCTTTAAAGACATGACCTCACTATCGATCAAGTTTTTGGGGATTGTAAACAAGTTCCTCGGTCTACGAATTGAGCTCGACAACTCGAACGGCTATGTTTTGCATCAAGAACCGACTCTCGAATTGCTGTTGAGGGACTTCGGGATGGAGTCGTGCAATGGGGTTCTCACCCCTATCGGAGACGAGTGCAACATGGACGACGAAGAGGACGCTGAGTACCTGCCAGCAAGAGGAGCGAAGGGTGACCGCAGTGTGAAGTCCCTTCAGTCACTGGTGGGAAGCCTACTATGGATTGCAAGATGCACATGACCAGACATTTGTTTTGCAGTGCAAAAGGCAACAAGACAGACTCACAGGCCGACAATCAAGGATTGGAAGACCGCGAAGCGCATCACGCGATACCTGAAGATGTCTAAGAATTTGAAGCTGCACCTGGATAGTGCTGGAAATGTGTCAGAGGATGTGCGGGTTGAATGCTGGAGCGATGCCGATTTCGCTGCGAGCAAGGCCGACCGTAAGTCAATATCAGGGTGTGTACTAACTGTGGATGGTGTAATGGTTCTGTGGCTGTGCAAGAAGCAATCGGGTGTATCGCTGAGCACGATGGAGGCTGAGTTTATCTAAGCGTCGCAAGCTGGTCGAGAGCTGCTTGGCATGAAAGAACTACTGAGCGAATTGAAGCTACGCGTACTTGAGCCCATGCCGATGTGGATTAACAATCAAGCGGCGATCAAGCAACTCGAGTCAGAGAAGAGCACCTCGAGCGCCAAGCACGTGGACATACGTCAAAAAACTTATAAGCCATCACGCACAGAAAGGGACTGTGGTGCCAAGGTTTGTGCGATTAAATAATATGCTAGCAGACATACTGACGAAGTCGTTGCCGGCACCAAGGATGGAGGACTTAAAGTCCATGCTCAAGTTGGAGGCCACACAGGCTAACACCGAGGAGGAGTGTTAGAAACTATCGTGTTTGACAGGTTTCAAGGTTCAAGTGCTATACCATGGTTCGGTGTCACCTGATTGGTTGATTACCGTGCGACGTGACATGTGGGACCACGACGGGACGATCGACAGATGGGACTGTGAGAGACGGAAGCCATGTGACAGGATGTCACATGGGACAGGAAGAGACGGACACCATGGGTGACTTGACATGGTCAAGTTGCCGTTGCCGTTTCTGGTCATACATATCGTAGTGTTGGAGGAGGTAGTTCTTAACGCTCAATATATTTTACTTTTACTTCCTACTTCTACTGCACAAGTGCACCTACGTCTAACAGCGAATACCCAGTCAATCCAAAGCTCCGTAGAAGCGTCTTCTAGCGCACAGCGACATGCATTCGACACTGAGGCAGCGACTACGGAGTGCATGCTAGGTCAAACATGAATTTTGGTGATTCAAGCGGTGCTTCTAACATTCGGCATCGACCGGAGGCAATGGTGCGACAGCCTATCGCTATCTCTTTCCCGCTAAGAAATTTGTACCAAAGTGTTCGCGACAGCATGCCAATACAAGACACAGATCTCGTATGCAGATTCGATCAGGCGGGTTCAGTACAGTGTCGAGTACGTTGCAAACAACTGACGGGATCCTTTCATGAAAGCATTTTATAAATATTGAAGTACGAACGCCTAATCCTTGGACATTGCATCCAAGTATTAAACAACATTGCCCATTGGTGCAGTTGACAGTGCTTCTGAAGTCGGCACCGAAAAGAAATGTAGCCATTCGACTCTCGATCGTGTTGACTTTCGCGCTTAAGACACTCTCAACTAAGTAACAAAAGGCTAACCTCAACCAAGTAAGTACCACGAGAAAATGTCAAAAGTCAGCAAGGAACTTTCCACAAACCCGCGACAAATGGGTTCACTTCAGAAGCCGCCCAATGACCCAATCACCCAAAGCGGATAAAATACACTGGGTTAATCATCCCATCTCGTCGTTACACTCCTACCACATTTCGTGTCATGATCGTCTGCATCGCGGTCATGGGAGCTGCGGTGCGTAAGCTTCCTCCCTGCCTCCCAAATTGTGTCAATAGCTCACCTTAAACGCCCCAGTCTAACAGCTCTCGAAGATCTCATGATTGTCTCCTTTTGTCCGTGTAGAACAGTCCCCTATACATCCGCACGTTTGGTCAAGAGAGCGAAGACTTGGGCTTTCATTACATCGCGCACGTGTCGCTCGACATCATTGAAGAAAAGCTGCAGAACGGAGGCATCAGCAGCTCCAAGGACGACATGTATCTGGGCTTCCTGGGACCAATTGAGGACCAACGAGTGTATGGCTACGTGACCAACTCGTCGGTCAAGTTTGTGGTGCTGCTGCAAGATGCGTCTGTGCGCGAGGTGGAGCTGCGATCGGTGAGGCGGGCGCTTCAATCTGACTTGACCTGCTCTCCAAATGACTTCCTCACTCATTAATACTGAGTGTTTATCGTGTCGTGTTGCGTCGTTTTGTCTATATGTCATGGCAGCTCTTGGCAGAGGTGCACCATCTGTACGTGAACGCCATGTCAAACCCTTTTGCTCCACTGGGAGAGCGTCTCTCGTCGCAGATGTTCGACAAGCGCGTGTCAAATCTTGTCGTCCAGCACAACACAAGTAGCTAAGACTGAATACGGGCTCGTCGTTTTTATCTTCATTGATGCACTGTTGCATATTGTTGGCGTTACTTCCCCACATCCGACATCTTCCTGTCTAAACATTTTCAAGCTACGACCGACAAGTCACTCACCCCGCTGCCCTCCTCCTTACCATCTTCCTCATCGGAAATCGATTCGTTGTCTTGGTCCTCGTCATCGATTTCAGGCATGGGGAAACGCAGAATAGCAGCAATACCACTTACTTGGCCAAGCTTCTCGCCCGACACGTGCAAACTGCTAAACAGCCGCACTATGCCACCGTTTTCTCGTACGCTCTCCACAAGGTCGACGTATTTGCGCCGCGTCGCGACATCCTGCGACCGGAAGAGCAAGTCCGTGACCAAGAGCGTCTCGATGGCCATATTTGCGTTGGCCCGCACAACGTGCTTGTAGCCGTAATACGCGCGGTCCTGATCGATGTGCAGCATGTTGAAGAAACGATCGAGGCACTTGACATCCTCTACAGCCTTCGTGTCCCTCACTTGCGACTGAAGTGCAGGGTCGTTGAGAACTTCATCAAGAGCATGCTTGTGACCAGACGACGAATGACACAATACAAACTTGGGCTTGTTTTCAAGGATAAGCTTATCGTCCTGACGGACAGCCTGCTCGATCATGAACTTGAAGAAGTCGTCTTTGACGAATCCAGGGCTAGCCAGTAGCACACATTTGACAAGCTTAAAGTCTATATGCTGGCGGATAGAACGCACAATGTTCGCGTAAAACTTTTCAGCGCCCTTGGCATGAGCCGAGCTGCCCGGGCGTTTTTTAGGTACACTCGTCTCGATCTTGGCGCGAATGACCGTCATATCACCTTTAATAAAGCACAAGTGTGCCAGACCGACCTGCATGATCACAGCTACAAGCTCAGCTTGCTTGGTAATATCGCATGCCATATTAATCCGTTCTAGCGACATGACGTCCCAGCACTTTTTTGTCAGCGTGAAATCGCGGTTCATCTCAAGATCCAGCGTATGGTACGCTCCCATCTGCGTACAAATGAATCACTCAAGTAAAAATCAGCCCCCTCAAGATCAATGTTCCCAATTCACACAATCAGTTTAGCGTGTACCCGAACGTGTTGACTCTCCATGACATTTCTGCCCCTGATACGCAGTACGCAGAGCACTGGATCGAAATTAACTTGCTCCACCTATCCGTTGGTCAACTGTGAGCATTCCAGCACTCGTACAAGGCATTGTTCAGACCAATCAAAGCACCGTACCTCAATTTGTAACGTCATACGGACACGCTGACTACTCGTAGAGCCCGTCACACCTTCTTTGACTACCTATCATTACCACAATGAACCCATGTTTCGCTTAAGTACGGATTTTCCCACCACCATTGCGGCAGCTGTACCTTGCGGATCGTTGTTGTCTTTACCGCGTCGCTCACGTGGATGAGATTGTATATGTGCCACATATCCTCGGACTCCTCAGCACGCAGGACCACGGAGCCGGTGCCGTCCTTCTCGCTGATCTGCTTCTTCAGCAGCTTCATGCTCGACCTCTAAATTTCAATACAACTACCTTTGAAGATGTTGGAAACGATAAGGTTGACTGAAGGTTGTTCCAATTGCGGTACCGCTGCTTTCTCGGTATGGCTACATCTATATCGCGCGAAATCAATCGAACGTACAGCTGCTTACCAGACCTTCATCATTACTTTCTCAAAGCAGCGATGCAGTCAGTGGCCACTGGCCAGCAAACCCTATCTTTTCCAACCTTTCATCGACGACTGAGTGTGGATGTGACAAGTCGAACTGCGTCGTCTCAATGCGGTTCGCGCTTTTAGCGTTTTGCAATTACAAAGTGTTTCTGCCATCGACTAACATCCCACGCGATGAGGTCATTCCCGCAGCGTGCTTTTCCTTTATGGGTAGCTCTAGATCCGATTATCTATCGGACCTGTACCATTAACATCTGCCTATTGTTCCAGCCCAATCGCATAACACTCGCTTTAACATCCTTTCATGCCGATGTGGAACAATTGACTCACCGACGATTATATCGTTTTATAGATCATTTAGAGTCAATGTGAAGCCCATCTGGCGCCACTGGTTAGCATTGATGATTCATGGCGTAGCTTTATACTTCAATTTTATTTCGTATCCGCGATGTATGCGGACCGCGTGCTTATCAGATCCAAGACATAAAGATGAAGGCCCTGTACGAGACGCACTACGAAGGTCATAGCAATTACTTCACATAGTCATGCAGCAGCAATGTACTCGCCCTAGTTGCACAATAACACTGCCAAGACCATTTATTTGTGCTAGAATGCTACAAGATACTGCTAAGCTTTTAGCCAATAGATCAACATGGCTTGGTCGTTGGATGAGTATATACGTGTCGTGTACCAATTTCATGCGGAATGTATCGCATGCTCGACTCCTTGATGTGTTTTAGTTGTAGCGACGTCTGAATGATTACGAATGTGTCAAATGAGGTAGTGCTTACTGCTTCGCCGAATTCGATGGTTGAATTCTTCGTACCGTGTTGATAAAACGACTATCCTACTTAACATGCATGATGCGTAGGAGCAAGGATGATGCGTGTGGACTGATAATCCTTCCTCTATAATCACAGATTTACCCACATACGAGACATTGTGCTGCATTATAGCATCTTTTTATTGAGACAAAGTCAATTCCGCTATTTGACATCACTTGTCAAGCCTTGTGGCGGAAATAAATAGCCGAAATCTAGGCACAATAATCTTCAAGCTGCGGCTTTAACAGGTCCAGCATCGAAACCGCCCAGTTGTATTGCAGACACGCAAAAGAATTGCGACCGAGCATAGAAAACTTGTACATGTGTGTGCCATTACGTTTTTTAAATACTAGTGTTTGTTGTACTACTTCCATTGCTGCAGCTGCATCACACACTGTAGCATTAGATCGGAACCATCGAGTGCGACGTACGACATTTGACGGTGCAAACGTGTGTTTTCTTCTATTCGTTTATTACCCAAATTTAGCTCCCAGCACCATCGTAAGCCTCGCGTAGTTGTGTTTTAGTCGCGACTATCGCGTAATCAATGAAGCAGCTATCATCGACGATTGATGATACTTTATGGCAAAATGACTGAAATAATTTATGACTGCTGACACAATTAAGCAGGTGAATGCTGTTGCTTTGATGTAACGGGGCACCCTGAAGCTTGTACTGGTGACAGTACAAGCTACTTATTCTGATAACAGAATAAGGCGGTGCCTCGTAACTTCACGTACACTCGTACGTGCAGAGGAAGACGGTAAGAAGAAGCGAGTACTTGGTTAGAGTAAAAAGTAGAACTGTATTTATAATAGTTAATGTCTGCAATAAATCACTATTTATCTTCATCTAACTATGTCTAAATACAAATGTGTAAATCAGCTATCTGCTCACCACTCATTGCGTGCGTCTGTCGTGGCGCGTCTTCGTTGGTTGATATAATGGCCTATATCAACCAATTAGGAACTACTTGTAAGTGCTACAGAATATTTGTCCTTATGACAATATTCTGAGAATATAACTCTTATAGTTATATTCTATTAACAATTTCTTATAAATTGTTATGTAACGATTCACCCCGTTACATCACCCCCCCTAACCATCAGTCACTTTAGTGACTGATTGACTAAATGGATACTCGTCCCAAATCATTTGGGACGGGGTTTGCACTTGTTGGTCCGCGTCCACTTTCCAACATCTCATCGCATGGTAAACAAGCCCATGCGATGCGCGAGCAAGGCCGCCGAGAGCGCGTCTGCACGTCTCTGTGCGGACGCCGAAGCAGAAACTACAGCAACTGATGTCCCATCGGTTGCTGAATCGACTCAGCCTGTATCACCTGGTGATGCAGGCGCTGGTCATGAAGACACTCGTGTCTTCACAGAGTACGAGCTCGGTGTCTCGTACTCTCCTGATACGGATGACGGATCCGTATCGACGGCAATTGAATCCAAGCCGCCTGCCAAGCGTGGCATGGACGATGCTTTGCGTCGCAGCATCTTTGGTTCATCTGATGAGTCAGATGAACCATCGCCGAAGCGAAGGCGCTCGAGGTCGCGAGACTCGGGCGCTAATAGTGGTGTCGTTTCTCCAATGGACAACACTTCACAGCGAGGTGCCAGTACTTCTGTCGGCACGTCGCAGGAAGAGCGGGACCGCAGTGTGTTGCGTCTCGCTCCAGAAAAGAAGGCATGGATGCCTCCTAAATCTGTCATGGATCACTTGTCGGCGACCACGAGTGATCGTTATCGAACACGATTGTTCGATTCGTCGAGGATTCATCACCTTGACCCCAGCGCGAAAGACTATCGCGCTGAACATGAGTTCTTCATCGATGCTTTCTTCAGACATCGATGGTACAGTGGGAATCACAAACGTGATGGTCCCTCACTACTTCAGGCGTGGAACGCCTACATCCATAATCTCGAGGATGTAGGTCGTGACGCTTGGAACGACAAACTTATCAAAGCTCGTGATAAGTTTGAAAAGCGAACCCCGACAGGTGCACGCTATAAGCTGCATCGTCTGTCAAGGGAGAAAGGATTACCCTGCCTCTCTTGGGGAGACTCGTGCCCATGTTGTGTGAACAACTCTGCACGAGCACCTAAGGAGGCTTACCTCCTTACCAGCCCGTGGTGGCGCGTACGTGTCTCTACTGAGATGTACGAAGGGATTGACAACCTGAAATCCCTTTACGACCGTGCCGGGAAGACTTTCTCCGGCGGTCCTTCTGCGGCACAGGATGTGTCGCGTCGTACTGCTCGACCAGACCCAGTACGTCAACCATCAATTGGGAGCGGGGCTCCCAAGAATCCCAGGACGGGGGATAGCCGCGCCACCGGACGAGGTAACTCGTCCGACGTCCGTTCACGTCGCGGTGGTTCAACAGCTGCTCTACTAGATAGCGCTGGCCACCGCGAGAGTCCTCTAATGGAGGTGGAGGAGGAGGGAAGACGCTCTCCACACAATCGTGGGGATCCGTGTGTTCCCGAGAGCCTCTTTTATCGCGTAACTCTTGCGTTGCGCGGCGATCTCGAACATGAGCGGGACAGACGTCTCCAAATGGCGGACGCTGTCTTGAAGCATCGAGCTGAGTTTGCCTTTGCTCAGCTTGAGAACGAGAGAGCTTTGACATCTCTGCGTGACGAGCTAAGGGTAGCTCTTGGGATTGTTGATCGGTCTCGGGCTGAGATAACTGCTCTTCAGACCCTTGTTGATGCCCACCATCGGGAGCACAAGGCTCTCTGCGAGATGCTTGAGCGCAAGGGCGTTCTTCATCGGAAGAAGCAGCGTACTGATGGTACGGCTTAAGCCGACCAACGTAAAACGTGGGATGCGTTCGCATCTTACGTGGTAACTCGATCGTGTATGCATTGCCTAGGCGGTGCAATACACGAAATGGGCCAATGTACTTGGGTAGTAGTTTACTGCTACCCAAGTTAGTCACTACATGTTTTGGTAGATTAACCGTAGACAGTAGGACTAAGTCACCTTTATTAAATAAAAGAGTGTTTGCCCTTCCATTCTTGTCAGCGTTTTGCTTTTGCTTATCCACCGCTTCGGCGATGGAGTCTTGCACAAAACGGACTACCGTTTCACGAGCCAGTATGAACTCATCTGATGACTCGTTAGCTTCAGTGTGCTGTGAGCGCACTGCAGCGACAACAACCTTTTCTTCAGTGAGGGCTTCCGCACTCTCACTGGGATCATTGTCTTCAGTGAGGGCTTCCGCACTCTCACTGGCATCATCTTCTTCGATATCGATGTTATCGATATCGGCATCAAACGCAATGACTTCTTCGTCAGAGCGTGATGAGCGTGAACCAAATCGGTTTTTGCTCGCGCGAGTCCCTCCCCCTTAAACCAGAGTTACACTCTAGTAAGGTGGGTACACGCGGATGGCGCAAGCCATTCACGTAAAACGGTGTATGTGTCGTGGACGCATGCACCGAGTTGTTGATGGCAAACTCTACCATCGGCAAAAAACTCACTCCAACTCTTAAAGGAGTGTACGTATCCTCGAAGTATCTCTTCAAGGACACGATTGGCACGTTCCGTCTGACCATCTGACTCTGGATGATCAGATGTTGACATCTTCAAGCGCGTTCCGAGTGATTTGAACACGGAACGCCAGAAATCAGCAGTGAATCGTGGATCTCTGTCTGATACGAGTTCACGGGGCAACCCATGAAGTCGGAAGATGGTGTCAATAAAGACACAAGCACAGCCACTTGCCGTGATTGTCTCTGGTACAGCCACAAGGTGTACCATTTTGCTGAATCTGTCAACAAATACGAGAATACCCGTATTCCCGCGTGCGTCTTTGGGTAACCCGAAGACGAAATCCATTGAGATGGATTCCCAGCACTCAGCCGGAACCGGTAGAGGCTGTAAAGGTGCACGCAGTGAAGGACTTGACTTCACTCGTTGGCAGACTTCGCATGCGCGAACATACTTTCGCACAAACTGATACTGGCGGGGCCAGTAAAAGTCTCGACTTACCGT